GTATGGAGCGCGCTGAATGTTATTAAAAATTCTTTGTTTTTGGGGGCCGTCCAACCATATGTCAAACAGATAGTCGAGTATCACTTAATTACGATTAGATCGTGTTGCCTCCTCAAACGTTTTAGAGAGTGGCTGATGCACTGCATGACGAAGTAAATTAAAATGTATTTTCAGCTATTAGTACCATTCCTATGAAGGACTGTCTTTAGCATCGAAACGATTACCAGGGAAAGAGTAGTAAAGGGGAGATGGTAAATCTTGTACATCTAAATTAAACCTGCATAGTAGGGAATAAAGTAATCTTTGAGACGTCGGCCTCAATTTACTTTTATAACATGTGCATTCTTCAGTGAAAATTACTTATCTTATGGTGTTAGGCTAATCTGCTTCGATTTCCTCTATCATTGCTGTACTTATGATGGTGGTGCTTACAGACATGTTGCCGCATTAAGCATGCTCTGTTTCGTTTCTCTGCACCTTCATTTTTAGTCCCTTCCTTAGTGTTCAATCAGGATGGAAGCGGCTGTGACATTGAGACTCACATACTTCAAACGGGCATCTTATCTTCAGTAAAAAACGTAATTTCAATCAGGAAGAAAAGGAAACTGCCTTATGTACTGAAATCACCCATTAGAATGGTCGGCACTTCATACAGAGCACTTTCTGTTTCCTTCAGGATGGACTAATATTCTCCTTCATAATTGGTTGCATAGACCTGTAACGGGGTCAATCTTAGCCTCTTGTAGCTTCAGTTAGAGGATTGTCACTCCTTTCCTAACAGGTTTCCATCAAATGATCCTGTCAGCTAGGCTGGGTTCTACCAGAACACTAACACCGACCTGAGCGAGCGTTGCATGCTTGATATGTTGTGTTGACACCTGAGTAGAATAGTAGAAGTTCAGAATTACACACCCGAGGCATTTCATTCATGAGAGCCAAACTATCCAATCAGTATCTTGAAGCCTCATCAGCTGGCTGTTGCTATTTCCGTCAGTGACATTTTTCAGTTTATAGTTGTAAACTCCCATTGTCGATATGGTTCATGTGGAACCATATCTAACCTGTTATTATGACATCGCACTGAATGTCTCCAGCGTTCAGAACTGCTACAGACTCAGTTGTTGACTGGTGTTTTCATGATTTTCGTGTTCATCTTCTGCTAAGTACCGAGCTGTCAAAAGGCGTGAAGCAAGTTCTGATCGCTAACTTTCCGCAATTTGACTCAGTTCCTCAAGAGCCTACGCGGTCCTGGGTAACGTGGGGATAAGTAAGCCAGCATGACGCTCAGTAAAGGTAATACTCTGAAGGGCATATGGCTAAGTTTTATGGAGACCCGCCACGGTCCCAAGCTTTCGTCGTTTCTCATCCGAGCTTGAGAGAGCAATAGCGTAGGTACGGCACTGTCGAGTCAGAATTAAATTGTAGGATCGGCCTCACCTCCAATGTTTTTGGTAACTTGTAAAATATTTGGGCTGAGAAGTCCGTCTGTACCTTGTCTCGGTGAGAACACTGTTATTTTATGGCATAAAGACAGGTGTTGTAACGATGGAGCAATCACGACGGTTGAACCACGCAGAGCAGCGTTGGCTTCGACGCGTAATGAAGATTAAATGACAGGAACACGTAAGGAATGACTGTATTCTCTTCCAGACACAGGTGACGTTAGCAGACATGGAAATTAAGAAAAGAAACTCGGCCTTGTAAAACAAACTCATTGGACAGAAACCATTTACTCGAGCCCGCGAGTTGATAGCATGGGAACGAAAGCGCGGCAAGTGTCGAAGAGAAATCCGCATGAAGTGAAAAGTGAAATTGCATTACGTTCGACGGATGTTGTTAGTTGTTGTCATAATGGCGTAAAAGTAGCATTTTGCGTTGACATTCAAGACTGCTGAGCAAATGTTACGAAAGATATGCCAAATACAGCTTAAAGGTTTATATCTATATTCGAAATTGTACATAGTAAAACTCAATGCAGTGACACGCACTGTCATTCAGTAGGATAGTATTGGTGTAAACTAACGTTGTTTGGCGTACTCAACAATGTAATTAAACATTTTATCTTGATTTTGCCAATGACATGTAGTTATACTCTTGCAGATTGGCGTTACGAAGAGGAGACAGTATCCGCTACCTGTGTCCTGATAGTGTGATCGAATACATCTATCGAAATGGGCTGTTTGGTACTCGCTGCAAGCAAACGTAGCATTCTGAATTATTTAGTTGCAGTGATTGACAGTTAAGTAGTAGTGAATGTACAGTAGTACAGTTCATAATTCTGCTGATCCTTATG